AATTTTGGATACATGATTTTTAACAATACGATGATATTAATGATACGATAGATACTCTACAGTCGTGATTTGTTCCTAAATTCATGTGTTTCAGCTACATTTCATATTTAGATACACATAATTAAATGTATATGCTTATTTTGTATTTGAAATACATGTTTTTGGATATAACGTATGAAAATTAAATACACATAATTAAATGTATATGCTTTATCTTTTTAGATACACATAATTAGATGTATATGCTTACTATGTATTCGTGATACATGTTTTTGGATATAACATATGCAATTGATACTTGATACATCAAATTAATACTAGATACGTATAAAAGATACATGAAATTATAATATTTTATATATATATATATATATATAGATACATAATATCAATACTAGATACCTATAACAAATACATGAAATTAATGCTAGATACTTCTATGATACATATGAATGTACTTGCAGGACACTCATGTATCTAAGTGTTTAATTTGTTGGATACATCATATATTGATAATAGATACATCAAATTAATGAATTTATTATTTTAAGAGTAATAATTTGAAATTAATCAAATTGCATTACCAAGATATACATGTTTTTATCTTATATTAATAATACTAATGAATTTACTATTTTAAAGAATAATAAAATGAATCTATGTATTTTGAAAATCCTCAATTACTCCTCTAATTAAGGAAATTAGTTCCAAACAATTAATTTAAATAAACAAATTTTGTAACTCAATTTTAAAATTCGGCAGATACATGTGTCTCATGGATTCAGACTCATGTATCCTAAGCATAAAATGTGGTACATGAAGTAATATTTGAAACTATTGGAAATCTTAATAATTAAGACCTAAACTAGTGGGATTTATGTGGTTTGACCTTTTGTATGTTTTTTTCTCCTTTTTTGCAAAACATGTAAATGCGTTTTTCCTTGGATTATGACAGAAGGTCAAAGTTTCTTTCATATCAATACCATTTGAAACACTTGTAGCCAACATTGGAACTGAAACTAAAGAGAAATAGATGTGATATAATCATGCTGGTATAGTAATTCTAATATCAGATAAGCAAATTAAAATAAATAAACATAAGACTATTTTTAAATAATATACTTATTGAATACTAGGCTGTTTATGAACACAATTGTTGGCCAACAAAGAAAATAAGACAACAAATATTGTGTCATAATTTGTGTCTGACAATTCCAATACTTTGCTATGATTTATAGTCTTCTTCTTCTTCTTTTGATTCTGAACTTCAAATAAAATACTCCTCCATAACTTTTCTTTTGAAGAATTTGCCTCTCTTAGAAATAAAGAAAAAAGTAGAAGAAGCAATAAAATAGATTCTAAAATTTATTTATTTGTGGGTTCATAATTAAATAGCATAATTGTAGTTAAATGATTTTTGAAGATAAAAGTCTTAAATTGAATGATTTTATTGATACAAAATAAAGTTTCAAAATTATTGCTATCTCTGCAATTTTGAATTACTCATCTCTTCCGATGGTGGATGTAGGTCTAATGACCTCATCGCGTAAATTTGTGCCTATTTCTCTTATTAACGATCTAAATTATCGGTTGACTTCATTTTGAAATTTGATCTGTTTTTCTCTTTTTGAAATGCTAGCAAATTTGTTGTGGCGAGTAAATTTCTTGTTAATTTGAAGTGTTCCGATAACTTATATACGAGTGGTAATTTTCTCATGTATAATGCTCTTTATTACTACTTATATTACAAAATTAGATCGTCATGATTTACCTCCTTTGTAAGTATAAGATAAGTAACTGATTCAACAGAAAATGATTAAAAATATCTTTAAATTATACGAAATTGAATGAATATCACCAATTAATATTTTGGTCTAAAAATATTATATTCTTATTGTTATTTGTAGATAAAAATATCAGTTTTTTTTGGGAATAAAGATATTGTATTTTTTAAAACACGTTATTTTTCTATAAAATACCATTTTTAGAGAACCTATTCCTTTATTTTTTCTTCTATTAAAATTCATTTTACTAGTATAAAAGTCGAAAATAATCTATTTTCTTCATGATCTTCTTTTATCAATTAAAATATAATTACCTCATATACTTTTTAAATTGTTAATATATGTCACAACTATTACATAATTGATTTTCATTTTGATAATGATTTTAAAAATCTAGTAAATAGAAAATATTTTTATTTTATCAATATTTTTTGAATTGAAGTAAGATACACATTTGCTAATAAATTTCTTGATTTTAAATTAGTAATATGTAAAGAGGGTAAAAAATAATTCTATTGATGCATTAAAGATATGCTGTAATTTGAAGCAATGAAATAAAGTTTCATATTTCTATGACATTATCGATATTTTAAAGATATACTGAAATTTGAAGCAATGAAAATAAAGTTTCATATTTTTATGACATTATTATGTTTGTATCTTAACTTTAAAACATTATCCTTCTTCAAAATTCGATTTTTTATTTTTATTTTTTTTATGATTATCAAAATGATAATTATTATGATCTTATATATATATATATATATATTACAATATTTTTACTAGAAAATAACATGTTTTGAAATAACATTTTTTACCCAAAAGTATATTATAAAGATACTTTTAGATCAAACTGTGACACACGCATACCCTCTCTTTCCTCGAAACTGTAGAAAGATTCTTTCCACATTTTAATTTTTAACGAAAGGTTCTTTTGACCTTATTTCTTTAATTATTTTTTCACTTAAAATGTTATCCAAAGGCAATGCTTTTAGAAGGTTCCAACCAAGAAGCAATGGTACGTACTCTTGATAATACTGTGAGAAAATAGAAACACATTGATTATTTTCAAGAGTCATGTTCTATCATTCGATCGGGGCACCTTAGTCCTTTTATGGGACTTGCCATAGGCACGTTACCCAATAATTTCACTTTCAATATCTGTCTCAATAACATGCATGTTAGCTCTTGAAAATCGAATTCATAACATTGAATCTATAGATTGATACCATGAAAAAAATACTACACTTAGAGCCTAATGACAACCCGAAAGTTAGCTCGGTGGGATACGATTTAATGAAAAACAAAGTAATAGTGTATAATTGCTACAATTAAGAATGTGTAATTGTGGTAATTAAAGTAGTGTAAATTACATAAATCTCATAGTTTTAATATGAAATTATAATCTATCCCTAATAAGTTTCTAGTTATATTAATCCTTTAAAAATTAAAAAAATCAAATACAATAATTGAAGCTCGGATACATTAATATATAGCTCGGATACATTAAATACTGTCTCGGATACATTAATATGTAGCTCAGATACATTAAAAAACTAGCTCGGATACATTAAATACTGGCTCGGATATATTACTATGTAGCTCGGATACAATAAAAACTAGCTTGGATACATAATATGTAGCTCAAATACATTAAATACTGGCTCGGATACATTAATATGCAGCTCGAATACATTAAAGAAATATGAAATTATGGAGATTTCTAAAAGTAATAGGGGATAATAGAAATAAGTTAAACAAAATGTGTGTTTCTGTAATTTGTTCATTAAAGTAAGCCAAAGAAAATTTCTTCCAAAATTTACGTTCAATACGATCATGTCACTTAGTAAATACTAATTACTTCCTCCGTCTCGATTTAGGTAAAATAATTTGACTTGACATGAAATTTAAAATTTTTAATTTAAACTTGTTGTGCAACTATAAATCATTTAATTAGAATAAAAAAGTTTTAATTATTACTAAATATAAAAATGTGTCTTGTTTTTTTAAGCTGGACTGAAAAGAAAAAATGTGTTAAATACATTAGGATAGAGAAAATACGTGTAAACAGTTACCCTCTCTATTCCTAATTACTTGTCCACTTTTGAATTGCTACACCTATTAAGAAAACAATTATTGACATAGTGAGTTTACTATTTTACCCCTATTAATTATGAAGTGGATGAATTAAAAACTTCAGATTCTCACGAAGTTCTACCTTTTTCAAAGTAATTAATTGAGGGTATAATAGGTAAAAAAAAATTGTCCTTTTTTTACTTGTTAAAATGGACAAATAATTAAAAATATCTATAAAAAGAAAAGTGGACAAATAATTAGGGACATAGAGAGTAATAAACACCCATTTCATTAATAGCGTAACGAAAATGATAAAGCAATCTGCTATAAAATACTAAAATTCAATAATAGAGTAACGAAAATGTGTACATAGTTAATTAGTGTATATAGCTTTTAACTCTTTCCATGAAATGCTTCGTGGCCAAGGTAGTACTCCGTCGTATAACATATAGTATTTTGCACTAAATGATTGATCCATGAATATTGGAACGTGTAGAATGCCCAATTTTATAATGAAGATCGAAGCCCCTTTTACATAAGAAATTTGTATTGAATGAAAAAGCAAAAGTGATAGGAGTAGTTTATAGCTCGAGTTGGACCATCTTTTCAGTTTTTTGTCCATTTTCCCCCAAAAAGTTGTGGAAATTAAGTCGGAAACGAACATATTGGTTTTATATTTTCATTTTCAATTTACTTGAGTCCCAAGGAATACCCATGTTTTTGGGAAATAATATTCAATTGTAGAATCGTAAAGATGACTGAGTTGGTGCAGTAGATGATATTTCGTAAGGAAGGTTCAAGAATGATTCCATCTACGTAGAGTTCATCCCACCAAACTTGTCTAGTGTGACTTACATATTCTCTATGATTTTTGAGCTATTGCACAGGAGCGAGTTCTGATGTGCGGAAAGTTCCATAAAAATACACAATTGTAGTGAAGTTCCCTTAAAGCGGACCGCGTTCAACCGGGCACCGACCAACTTTTTTTGTATTAGTGCCGCACGAAGTGCCTTTGTTCCCCTGCTATATATAGTTGTATGTATAGTTTTATTAAGCCCCATCATTAACTTCATACTAATACACTTCTTTTCTTCATTCAAAATCTTGCACACAAATACAGCTAAAAATATAAAGGACAACATGGTAGATACATTGACTGAATTATGCTCCAAGCTTGCTGGACTGATGTTCATTTTGGGCACAATTCAGCAACTTGTCCCCCGTTCTTTCTACGAGCGCATCAAAACATTGTGGCATCGATTCGAAAATTATTTCTACCCTTATGTCCAAATTACCATCGATGAATATTCCAATGATAAAAGAAATGAAGTCTACTCTCTTATCAAAGTTTATTTAGGTACTAAGTCCACTAATGATGCAAAGTATCTTAAAGCTGAAATGTTCAAGAAGAGCAAGTCTTTAGCTGTTAGTTTGGACGAAGGAGAAGAGGTAATTGATGAATTCCATGGTGTCAAGCTTAAATGGAACTCTTACAAGGAAACATTCACTGATAATTCTCCAGGGGGACGTTCTCAACTTCCGATTGAAAAGAAATGTTACACGCTAACTTTCAATAAGAAAAATCAAGACATGGTCACCGGACAATATTTGAGACATGTGATGGAAGAAGGCAAGGCCATTGAGTTCAAGAACAAGAAGCAGAAGATCTACTCTAACGAAGAGGGGGAGTGGTATTGGTATGGTAAAGGTAAGTACATAGATCATGTGGTATAATAAAATAACTTGGATGAATTACTAAAAGATTTGTTTTTTTTGTACCATTTATAGGTATGTGGAGGCACATCAATTTCGAGCACCCTGCAACATTTGATACTCTCGCTATGGATCCTACGAAGAAGGAAGAAATAATCAATGATCTCGTTGCTTTCAGCAAGGGGAAGGACTACTATTCCAAGGTTGGAAAGGCGTGGAAGCGCGGCTACCTTCTTTATGGTCCACCAGGGACTGGAAAATCAACTATGATTGCAGCTATTGCGAATTTCTTGAACTATGATATTTATGATCTTGAGCTCACCTCTGTTAAGGATAACTCAGGGCTTAAGAAATTGCTCATGGAAACAACCAGCAAGTCCATCATTGTCATTGAAGATGTCGATTGTTCTATCGATCTCACAGGCAAGAGAAAGAAGAAAAAGAAAAAGGAAACGACGAATGAGGAGGAGGAAGAAGATTCAGACTCGACTACAGAGAAAAAGAGCGACAAGAATGAATCAGGCAAACTTACTCTTTCGGGGCTGCTGAATTTCATAGATGGAATATGGTCAGCTTGTGGTCAAGAGAGAATTATAATATTTACGACTAATCATGTGGACAAACTTGATCCAGCTTTGATACGTAGAGGACGGATGGATATGCACATTGAGATGTCGTATTGCAGATACGAAGCATTCAAAGTGTTGGCTAAGAATTACTTGGGAATTGAAACACATCCTCTGTTTCAAGAGATTCAACGTTTATTAGAGGAAGTAGACGTGAGCCCTTGTGATGTGGCTGAGAACTTGATGCCCAAAAATGCTTCAGGAAAGCCTGAGATTTGCTTGGAAAACTTACTCAAAGTTTTGAAAAAGGCCAAGAGAAAGGCCAGCTTGAATTCCCAGAAGAACAAAAACTCCTCCACAAAACTACTAGTCAAAACTTATGGCCGTTTCAAAAAACTGTTTGAATGAAGTGATTTACCTTTAATTCTTAACACTTTTTTCACTTGTTGGGGGTCGAGAGGTAGACTTTTTCCTTGTATACAAGGACAATAACAAGTATCGGTTTCGGGGAGGGAGGGTGGAGTGTACGGAGAACTTATTCCTTCCTTACTTGGGTAGAGACTAGAGAGGTTGTTCCTGACAAGCAGTTCTAGTTCTAGAAAAAATAAGATGCTGTTACGTTGTACTCTTTACCTTTTGTATTTTCGCATTAGTATTTGTCTAACCAAACATACACTTTAATTAGTTTGCTAAAGCTTTCTCTGTTGATCACTTTTGTCAACTAGAATCATCAGTTGTCACAGTGTAATGAACATAAAAGTTTTATTTGGATCATGAACTAATCGTTCAGAAGGCAAAAACATACTAAAGTAACCTTTGAAATCAAGTAAAAATAATTAAGGATCCAAAAATTTACTATACTGAGTCGCAAGTAAGAAAACAATAAAACTACTAGTACCAATAAACAACAGTGAATATAAACACATAATAAACAAAATTGAATACTCCGACATAACAACATGATAAAACTACTAAACCTATACCTAAAGAAGATAAATATGAAAACATCATCTGAAAATCTTTTTAAAACGGCCATAACTTCTGACTAATTTTGTTGACAACTTTTTACTTTTCTTGGGTTTTTCTTCCTTGACTTGTTCCAAAACTTGTTTTTCCTTCTCCCTGGCTTCTTGTATTGCCTTTTCCTTGGCATCTTTCAAAGCCAGAATCAAGTTATTCAAGCAAATCTCAATCCCTCCAGAAGTATTCTTGTGTATCAAGCTCTCCGCGACATCACAAGGACTCATGTTTACTTCCTCTAGTAAAGGTTCAATCTCTTGAAACAGAGGATGTGTATCAATGCCCAAGTAATTCTTAGCCAACACTTTGAATGCTTCGTATCTGCAATACGACATCTCAATGTGCATATCCATCCGTCCTCTACGTATCAAAGCTGGATCAAGTTTGTCCACATGATTAGTGGTAAATATAATAATTCTCTCTTGACCACAAGCTGACCATATTCCATCTATGAAATTCAACAACCCTGAAAGAGTAAGTTTTTTTTTGCCTTCAGAGTCTGAGTCAGAGTCAGAGTCCGAGTCTGAATCCGAATCTGAGTCACTTGTTTCTTCCTTTTTCTTCTTCTTTTTTGCCTTCTTTCTCTTGCCAGTGAGATCAACGGAACAGTCAATGTCTTCAATGACAATAATAGACTTGCTTGTTGTTTCCAAGAGCAATTTCTTAAGCTCTAAGTTATCCTCAACAGAAGTGAGTTCAAGATCATAAATATCATAGTTCAAGTAATTCGCAATAGCTGCAATCATAGTTGATTTTCCAGTTCCTGGTGGACCATAAAGAAGATAGCCGCGCTTCCACGCCTTTCCAATCTTGGAATAAAACTCCTTCCCCTTGGTAAAAGCAATGAGGTCATTGATTATCTCTTCCTTCTTCTTAGGATCCATAGCCAGAGTATCAAAAGTTGCAGGGTACTCAAAATTGACGTGCTTCCACATCGTGTTCAAACGCAACCACCAAGTAAGCGTACTGTCGTTACAATAAATCCTCCGTTTCTTATTCTTGAACTCAATTGCCCTGCCTTCTTCAATCACATGTTTCAAGTATTTTCCCGTGACAATCTCTCGATGTTGCTTATTGAATGTAATTGTGTAACTTTTCTTCTCAGTAGGCTGGGTTTTCTTACTCCCCTGAGAATTATTATCATCGAATGTTTCATTGTGAGAGCGCCAGCAGAATGTAGCGCCTTCGAATTCATCAATGATTTCTTCTCCTTCGTCCAAGATAACAGCGAAAGACTTGCTGTTTTCGGGTTTTTCAGCTTTGAGATACTTAGCACCAGTGTCCACAGACTTAGTACCCAAATAAGTGTCAACATGTCTGTAAATTTCGTTAGTTTTTCCATTGGTGAGTTCATCAATGGTAATTTGAACATAAGGATAGAAGTAATTTTCGAGTCGAGTCCAGAAGGATTCGATCCGTTTGCAGAGTATTTGAGGGAATAGTTGTTGAATTGTGCCCCATATGAACATTAGTCCAGCAAGCTTGGATCCTACTTCAGTCAATGATGCTCCCATTGTGTTATCCCCACCTTAAATTTTTTCACATCTGGTATCCTTACCAGAAGGTGTGTATTTTTGTGAATTGGAAGTGAGGCATAATATATATAGTGGTCAGTGGCCAAGTTCATGTTGAACAAGGAAATTCATTAGTTTAACTAGGCCACAAGTCGTATTGTAGTAGGATTTGAATTATATTGTAATAGAAAAAAACCGTTTACATTTATTAATATAGTTCAAACTATTATAATTGGTTTATTGTATTCTATTTTTAAATTATAAAATCAAAGAAATTGTCTTCTATTTCTACTATAAATATAAATAAAAGAGGAAAACCTTTACAAGAAGGAAAGAAATTCCTAAAATTAGTACCTTTTCAATTAGGAATCAATTTGTTTACGAAAAATTCTAACGTAAATTAAAGAGGAAATATCTTTTCAAAAAGGAGAGTTTATTGAGTATTTATGATATTTTTGGAATAACAATAACAAAAAACTTCTCAAGATATTTTTTCTTTGGTTTTTGAAGTTGAATTTGTACTGGAATGAAAGTAGTTGCAGGCCGCCGCCCGGAATGTACAAAAATCTAATTTTTTTAAAATTGTTTCATAACAAAATTGAACATTACTTAATATAAATTGATCTACAACAATGAACCTCAAGAAGGGTCGGGTCGGGTCGGGTTGAGCTCCGAACCGATTAGGCCCAGTTACATAAAATTTGGGCTTTCAATGATTAGGCCCAGTTACCAGAATTTTATGAAATCTTAACCCTTTTAGCCAGCCAACTTAAGAAATTTTCACCCCCTTAGCAGAAACAATTTGAAGTTGTCAGTTGGTGTATCCTCAATCTCTAATAAATATAGAATTAATGTACATATTAATTATATACAGATCATGCATGGTACAACTTTATACATGGTAATAATATCCATGGAACCGATTTGGGGCACCCATGAACCAAGCATTTTACCATACGAGGAAGTAATTATTTCAAGTTAATTTGTTAAAAATATAATTCAACGCTTAACCAAAATTTTGATGTATCATAGATTGATTACAACTTCATACAAAATTTTCTCTTTAAACAAACATAAAGTAAAACTTCGTATAGAAAAATTATTGTTGGATATATAACCATCGGCCATCCTCATTTTCAAAACAATTAAGCTTTGGTCATTTTTAATAATGTCATGCAACGGTTTTGAACTCTAATCTCAACGAAGTTGCATATCAATTTTACTATTTCCACCAAGAATTGGTTATCTAAAGGTGATCTGATCATTGATACAACGCATATAACTTAAACTCTTTATTATGAAGAAATTATGAATATAAAATCAAATAAATGTATAAACTAGAGAGTAATTAAGCCCCAGTTTTATCAAGCAGATAAATGTTCAGTGCCCCATTTATCTGGACAGAAAGTTATAACAAATTGATCGGATGAACAGCTGACTACAGGCGAAGGCGTGTCGAAAGCATAACTGACGTAAGAGGGACAAGCTTTCTTGAACAAACTCGAGTACACACTCGGCTTGCATTTTTCAGGACTTCCATATTTGTTCCTACAACAAAACGAGTCAAGATTGAATGCCAAGCAAGCACTTTTACACGCCACCACTTGTCCTTCATCATTTACAACCTATTAAAAGAATCATAATCAAGTAAATTAAAAAATACGTCTTTGTAGTATATATGAGATGGTCATGCAATTCAACATATTAACGTACGTACCTGAAGCTCAGGTGGACACGTATCTTTCATGTTTTGGGTGCACCCTCTAATAAGACATTTTGATGTTGAAGGCTTATTTGTTACCGAAACAGGGAGGTTATATCCGTCAACTAAGCTTACATCGTAGAAACTTGGCTGCTTTTTATCATATTGTATTGTCATTTCTACTAGTGTAGCTGGAGGAAGGCCTATAGTTCCTTCACATTCGAGTTTTCCGTCACAATCGCCTGTTTCACAGGCCGGTTTGTGATTGGTGGGTACGTCGAAATTGCAGCCGGTTCGAGCCCAAATGCGTCCACTCCAGTCCCCTGGGGATCCAATTCGGCGAATTCCGCCGGATGGAAGGTAGAAACCACCGTTTGCTAAAACTGGATGGCCCGTATTTGGGGCAGTTGCTGGCCATATAGGGAAGGGGCATTTGTTACTAATGTAAATACTGCATCCCTCCACCTCTCTTAGTTTACCTGCACAAAAATTGTTCCATAATAAATACTATATGGTACTACATAAATTATGTATAACTATGGGGGTGTTTGGTACGAAGGAAAATATTTTTCTGAAAAAACAAGTGAATTTCAAATATGGTGCAACACAACACAATAACATAAAAATGAGTAATTCATTAATCGATTTGGTTTAATAATTTTGAAATTTTGTAAATATTCACAAGCAAAGGAATCAAAACTGCATATTTTAATTAGTTAAAGATTAAATGTGCTTAATTAGATGAGATGTCGCAAAGACTTAAATACCTGATGTAATGAAGTGGCATATAAAGAAGAGTTGGAGAGCAAAAGATATCCGTGAAAAATTCATCGTAATTTCCATTTCTTTTTGTTTGACAAATACAAGGAGCTAAAGAATGTATATTTATAATAGTTTGGATATATATGTTAATTAATTAATAGAAAGTGGTCCAAATCCTTCTTTGATTTTACTTCAAGTTTAACAGCCTTTATGAAGAAGAAATAACCTTTGACGATATTAGATGTGTTACTCCAACGAAAATAACTTTTAGCGTTAATAAATAGATACATTAATAAGGAGTGCGAAGTTTTTTATCGACATTAGTTAAGTGTCATTAGATTCAATATCGCTAAAGACTTTAGTAATTAATACAAAAAGTGCTAATTGCCGCTAAAAATAATATTTAGTGACAATTAAACTATTGCCGTTAATTAATTGGGAAGATATTTTTTTATGTAACGTGTACTTGCCTCTCCACTTAAAGTAGTACTATTATTTTTCTTCCGGTTAACATAAAATGAGGTGGCAGCTGTAGAATTTACTTAATTAGGTATAATGATGCACTCAAGTGCTTTTAAGAAATAATAATACTTCCAAGTAAAAGGAGAAGAAAGAATATTTTACTAGAAATTATATTGAGTAGCTTTTAAACAACAAATAGAATGTCAAATAAGTTAAGTTCTTTAATTCATCCAGATCTTCTTCCACTTTTCTCGTGGTATGTCAAGAATCAAGAAAAGATTATAGTACACGGTGAAAAGGATCCCAAGGTAAGCTGATCGAAAATAATTTTTCTGAACGTTTTGGTTGATAATATTTCTATCAAGCAAATTAAGGATAAAGTTTAAATACATTTCATCCTCACTCACTTTCACTTAGGGATCACAATTGTTATTTTTGTCAAAATCACCCCGATCGAAGACCTTGAAATTTACGAGTGCCTCATTAATTTACTAAAAAATATGGGGGTCTCTTAATTATTTAAACCGATATTTTGAATATACATAACTAATTTCAAAGTTCTTATTTTAGGTGTATTATCACTATTGCAGTGTAATTTTCTTGTCCATTGTCAGTGGAGAGAAGTTAATCTTTTAAAAGTAATGAGAAAGTACTTTAAAAATTGAACTGACGGTGTAATTTTTTTGACTACTATCAGTTAAGAGAAGTTCATCTTTCTATTGAGTAACAAAATTACATATCTTGAAATTCATTTTGAATTATAGATGAATTTTATCCTTGCGTACCTAATCTATATATATAAAGAAGAATGTTAGACTTGATGATGTGGCATGCCTCTAAAGGCTAGAAACTTATTTATCTTTTTTGTGATATTTTTTACCATTTTTCCTCATTTTAAGTTTTTACAAAATATCAAAGCATAATATTGAATTCTCTCCTTATTTTTAAGAATAAACATAAGTATATCTGTATATGTATCAATGTTGCACGAAAATTTCTGCCAGAAATATTTATCTCTCGGCTTCCCATAATCAACATTTATTATATTTATACTCCCTCCATTCCATATTAACTTAAGCTTTGAGGTGTTTCACACCCTTTAAGAAAAGTAGGTTAGGACATAAATTGAACATAATTTTCCATTTTTACCCTTATTAATTATTGTCAAAAATAACTAAACATTAATTATAATAACTAATTCCAATACTAACTTAAAGGGTAAAATTGGAAGAATATTTTTAAAATAGTCTTGAAGATTGAAAACTTAAGTTAATTTGAAAAAAATGGAAAAGGGCTCAAAGCTTAAGTTAATATGAAACGGAGGGAGTAATGTTATTACTCCCTCCGTCCACAATTGTTTGTTAGGGTAAGGTCATGCACATCCCTCAAGGAAAATTTAATACAAGGTGTAATTTGACTAGTATAACCCTACTATATCAAGAATACCAAAAGTCCACATAACTTTTCAATTGAACTACATAATCATTAAGGGTAGAATTGAAAAAAAGTGACTTATTATTTCTTGATTGTTTAAATTGACAATTAATCTTAGACATCTATTTTTAGTATACCTGCCAAACAATTGTGGACGGAGGGAGTAGTATTCATTAGTCTTGCACGTATTTTTTTTCTCCAGATAATTCATTTCAGTAGTCCCCTTTTCCTTCCCAATAATTAATAGTATTTATTTAGGATAATGCTAAATGGCCAGAAATTAAAAAAAATTATAATATCTTTTTTATTTTAAAATAAACTAATCTTCTTTTCATTTTTTAGTTAAAAGATATTAAAGTTAAAAAAGTAAAAATGTTCAAAAAGGTAAAATAACATATGAAAAATACCATTCTGGCCATATTCTAGCCAAATTTTCTGGCCAAAAGAATTTTTCCATTTATCAATAGGTTTTAAATGTTGTACCTCTTTACATTCTTGCACTCAATAAAATGATAGAAGTTTAGAAACTAGGGGTGTACAAAAGCGAACCGAAAATCGAACCAAACCGCAAACCAAGTCAACCCGAAAAAAAATCCGACTAGTGGTTTGGTTTGACTTGGTTTGATTTTAAAAAAAAAAATCCGACTATATTTGGGTTGGTTTGGTTTTAACTTAAAAAAACCAACCCGAGACCAAACCAACCCGAATTTATATATATAATTTTAAAATTTTATTTTATACATAAAAATATTTACTTTGATATAATTTTAAAATATTTCTTATACTTTTCCATAGTTTTTATCTTTTAATATATTATTTCAAGTTTGAAACTTAGAATTATGAATGGGTCAATAAAGATTATAGTCCATAGATGTTGGTAATTATAATAAAGCTTAAATCAAAATCAAATTAATACTAATGCAAAAAGAAAATCAATTCAACACTAAGAATGACAATAATATTGAATATTTGTTCTTTAGTTTTACATTGGTTTAGACAATTAAAATACATAATCTAATTTTAATTTTATTTAATATTTAGTCCTGTAACTAATACTTATTAAACTTAATTTTAGCATGATTTAGTACTTTTAAATTATGATAATTTTCATTATGACTTGTTAATTTGTAATATTTGTTTTACACGATTTCATTATTATTATTTTTGTTGGATATTTTAGTGTCATTAATCATATTATATTGTGTTATATTTTTAAGAAACATCTTAGATAGTTATATTTTGGTAAGACTAAAGAAATATTTGAAGTACAAGTAAATTATATGTTTGTATGAATACTTTACCGGAAAAACCCGAAACAACCCGAAAAATCGAAAAACCCAAAAAAACCCGAGGTTGAAAAATCCGAGTTTTATTGGTTTGGTTTGGTTTATAAATTTAAAAATCCGACACAAATGGTTTGATTTGATATTTGAAAAACCCGAACCAACCCGGCCATGTACACCCCTATTAGAAACAAAGCTCCAACAACTTCTCCACTATGCTAGATGAAAAATTCATTATGCTACATTTTGTCAGGTAATATAAACTATTATTTTTATTGTATGAATAATAGATAATTGTATTGACAAATTCTTTTATGTGAATCAAAATAATGTGATTTACTTATTCGTGGTTATAGTAAAAGCTAAACCAGTGAAGTGACCTTGAAAGCTTGACAAAATAACTACTTTAAAGTAAAAGTTTCTCCTTAGTTCATACTATATTTGTATATTATATCATTTTCTTATAATAACTATATATCTTTTTTTTAATTGCTTAGTATCATTTTTGCTGTACACGAATTTGTTCCATTAATTGCAGAAAGTGAAAAGAAAAATGTGTCAACCGGCTACAACAGTTATTCAAAGTATAAAGGAGATACTAAATCAAGGGTCATCACTACATGAATGAGTTCTGACTACATTTTTCTTTTCCTCATTTTTTTTTACCATTCTCCTAAATTATTTAATCTGTTTTTATTATTAAAAAAATAAAATAAAATCAAAAGTCACTACTTAAAATATTTCTCCTCAATACGTTATTCATTTTTTTCAATTACTCATTGTTAACTACCACTTAGTATATTTAAATCTCTTTCATTTGTTAGTACTTATCATTTTAATTTAAAAGTCCAAATTTAACTAAATAATTTGTCAATTAATTAGGAAAAGACGATTACTATAGAAGATAGGGAAAGATGAAAAAGTTTAGATTTCAAATAGGCAATGAAAATATTTTTACAAATTTTCTTTTTGATTATTTAAAAATAGAGTGCAATCTTTGAATAGCAACAAGAACTAGGGAACAAGAAATTAATAAAAGAAAAGAAAATAAAATAAATATAAGAAGGATTGAAGGAACTAATGGTCTAGAAAAAAAGAGAAGATGAAGTCGGATAAGAGGGAAAGAAAACGGAGATAAAATGATAAAAAAAATCGAGAGAAAATAACTTCTTTTCCAAACTAGAATTTATTATTTAAGGTATGAACAATTGAAGTGATATTAGATAATAGGAATAGGAAAAAATGAAAAACAAAAAAAATTAAGAAACTATATTAAATATAAATTTCATTTCTTTTTATTTCTACCTTTACTTTTCAATTTTTCATGCTTACTTTATTTTATTAGAAAGAAATTTTTTAAATTATTGATTTTGTAAGGATATGCATGAAAAAATGTTATTATCTCGATTATATTTAAATAATAAATAATTGTATGACCGTGCAAAGCTCGAAAATATTCACCAATTAATAATACGACTGATCAATTTGCTTATCCCTTTATAAACAACTAATGGTGAGTAAAACAACAGTTGAAAATGAAAAAAAAAATTAAGAATATTCTTATATTTCTTTTTGTAGCGTGCCATATTTTCTTGTATTATTTCTATGTTTCACTTTTATTTATTAATACTCCAATATTTTATAAGGCAAAAATTAATTGAAGAAATTGGATGAGTGAATGTCGATTAGATTGATTCCGAAGAGATTTACAAAAGTTAATTGATTAGATTTGTCTCGTTTATAAGTATTAATTGTGATTTAAGTTATATACATTAATATTATAAATATATATATATATATATATATATTCAAACTCATATAAAAAAAGTTTATAGAAAGAGAGGTTTATAGTATTAATGAAATCACGAGAGATGTGTGTGTATTACCTTACCTCCTATATTTTTTTGT